TCGGGAATAGGAATAAAAAAAGAGATATAGTAACTAAGTTATAAATAGCTTTACGTAATTTATAATCCTTTTTATAAGCGTTTATATATATTACGGAAGTTCTCGAGCTTTTAATTTTTAATAGTTTTTAATAAAACGCTAAAATACGTAATAAACGAGGTACTAATTATAAAAAGTAATTCTTAACACTAAAGTTAACGTTAATAAGGAACTTTTATAATAAACTTTTATTATTATATAAGAATAGAGCTTATAAGAACTATTTTATTAAGTACTAAGTAAAGCTTTATTAAGTTTTAAATATTTAAACCGGGCCCGTAGACTTTTATAATACTTTAATAATAGTATTTTTATAACGCTCTTATATTTAAATATAAGAAATAGTAATTATTATAACTATTTCTAGGACTACTTTTTTTTTATTTTTATACCTAATTAGTAAAAAGTTATAGAAAAAAGTAGTATAGGATATATAATATTTTATTAAGTAGTAAAAAGAATAGTTTATAAGACCTATTTAGAGCGCTCTAGAGGAGTTTAAAAATTACGACTTATTAAAATTAATTTTTAAAGCTTATTAAAAAAGTTTAGTAATATTAAATATCTCTTATTGTAATTATAAAAACTATTTAAAAATATTATAAATATAAAAATAAAAAAGCTAAGGGATATTAATATATAAAAAGAGGTCGACCGTAATTTTAAATAAAAGATCTTATTTTTATTAAAATAAGTATATATTTATAAATACGATATTAATAACGAGGTTAGTAAAGTAAAAATATATATATATATATAAAGGGGGATATATAACTACTTAACCTTTTATAAAATACGTATATTTTAATACTTATTATAAAAGCTTTTAGGCTTATAATAATAATAGCTACCTAATTTAATTTTAAAATAAACTAATATAATATTATTAATATATTCCTTAACGCGCTTTTTAAGAGTAAGAAATTAGTAATTATTAAACTCCTAGAGGGATATAAGGTTATTAATAAAATAAATAAGCTCTAATATACTTTATATAACTTCTAAAACTCGCTAATTCTTTAGTTTTAAACTTTTATTTTTATATTTCATAGTATAAATATAATATATAGTTATAAAAAGATTTATATTTATTAAACCGTAAATAAGAAAGTAATATTAGTATTTTACGTTAATAACTTTATTATTCTATATTATTAAAATAACTAAAAGGCGGCTTAAGGGATCGTTAATAATATAAAAAAATATATTAACTTTAAAGAGAATAGACTAATTAATTACTTTTTTAAAGTACGGATTTTATAAAACCGTATTATTTATAAAGTTTATTTTATTTATAACATATATATTAAACGAGTTATTAAGTACTTCGATTTTATAAATTTATTATATTTAGCTACCCCTCTTTTTTAAAAAGAGTTTAAATTAAATAAGGGGTAGGTAATAAAGGAGGAAATAAAGAGTTATTAAGAAAAGGTTAGGAGTATATTTTATATAGTTATTATAATTAGACTAGACATTGCTTTTATTTATTTATAATTATTATAGTTCTTAACTAACCTAAGCATAACTTATATTAAAATAATTAATTACTATATTTAATATTTTTATATAACGAGATATTTTATACTTTATTATAATAGTATATTAAGTACGTAATTATTATTTTTAGTTAGAAATACTAACTTTATAAATAACGAGGTAATACGACGATTATTTTAAAAATATATAATATTCCTTTTTAATAGTTTAATTTAATAAAAATTAATACGCTAAGTAACGGTTATAACGTTAATTATTAAAGCTAAGCTTTTTTATTTTAAAAAAATTATAAAAAAGACTATAGCTCTAAAGCGCTTTTTTAAAAATATTACCCTTAACTTAAGAAAAGTATAGTTAGTTAATTATAATAATTAGTAAACGATTTAACTTATTATAGGGAAAAGAAAAAGAATAGCTACTTAACTTTATTATATTAATATATAAAATATATAATTAAAATAAGAGTACGCTAGAGATAGTTTCGAAATTACTTATATATTAATAAAAGATATATTAATAAATAAACTTATTAAAAACCTTTTATAAGCTAAGTTTGAATATTTTTATATATTTCTTAACTTCTATAATATATAAAAAGCTATTATAAATAGCTAAAATAGTTAAAAATAATTAATTTAGGCTATGCTTAGAAAAACTTAATACTTAAAAATAGATAATAAATAGAACTTAGAGTACGGCCTAGAGGTTTAAAATAAATAAAATAAAAACCTTTTATAGCCTAAAGGCCTAAATTTTTAAAATAATTTTATTTTATAGGGTATATATATATAAAAATAAGACCCGGGCTTATATTTATTATTTAAATTTTTAATTTATAAAATATATAATTATTAAAAATATAATATTATTAAGGAAGAGGGTTAATATATGTGCTAAAAAACGCGTTTTATATATTTTAAAGTTTATAAAGCTAGGAGTAATAAAAGTAACGGGGGGTGTAGGAATTAAAATAATTATTAAGTTAATAATTTAGGGTATAGAAGTGAGTAATATAATAAGAAGTTAGTTATAAATAATTATAATAAATATAAAAAAGGACTAGGGGTACGAGTTAAAAAAATCTTTTATATAAAAGCTAATATAGTTCTTATATATTTTTTAATTATTAACTATTTAGTAAATGATACTACAGAGCTTAGTAATATTTTATTAAAATTATAATTAGAAGTGCGCTTTTTAATAATAAAAAAGGATAATATATTTATAAAAAAGGGAGCGCTATTTATAATAACCTTGGTAAGGGCCTAGGCTATTAATTATAAAATAATTAGTATATTAATATACCCCTCGGCTAAATAGCTATTAAAATAATACGTATACTAGCTATTACTTTTTATAAAATAATAATTACTATTTTTAAAATTAGTATATTAAAGGGCTATTTTAAAATAAAATAAGTACTAAATCTCCCGTTTTTTAAGAACCTCTTTTTTAAGCTTTTTAGGGACTAAGTATATATTAAATAAGCTTAGAATAGTAAAAAGACTTATATTTATTACGGGGGATATTTTTACTTTTTAGCGTTCTTTTTTATTTTTTATTACCTTTTTAAAAAGAGCTAGCCTTATATTTTTTAAACTTTAAAATAATATTAAATATAAACTTTTAAAATAATAAGTATATAATATACCTTTTTTAAAAAGTTTATTATTTAAATTAGTTTTATTTTTATTTTTAAACTCTAAGGGGGGGATAAGTAAAAGCCCGTTAGAGCTCTTATTATTATTATTTATTTTATTATTATTTTTATTATAGCTATTAAAAAGAGCTTCGAACTTAATAAAGTCCTTAGTATTTTAATTAATAATTTTAATATTTTTTTAATTAGGGAGGGAGAGCTTAGTAACCGGGCCTTAATAAGTAAATAAGAAGTTATAAAAGGGGAAAACGACTTAAAAAGGCTCGTTAATATTATTATTTATTTAAACTCTTAATAAACTATATAATATATATATAAAAAGTATTATAAAAATTATATAAAACTTATTATTATTTTTAAATATATTAGATATTTATATTTAGAATAAAATTAGTAAACGATTTAATAATATAAGCGCGCGCGCGTAGTAAATAGGGGTATTTATAATAACTATAAAAAGTTAAAAAGAGGAAAAAAAATAATAATTAAGTAATGCTATAAGAATTTAGATATATATAAAGTAGCTAAGTAGCCTCGCCCTTAGTAATTTATATATTAAAAAAAGTATAATATATATTATTCCGGGTTAAGATTCTATTTATTTTAAATAAAAAGATATATTTATAATAAACGCGGTTTAAAAAACGCGTATCCCTTATACTTATTTTTTTTTATTTATATTTAACTAAATTAGGTTTTTATAAGGGTATTTAGAGATTCTATTTTAAATATAATAGCTCCTTAGTAGTAGTAATTAGGGGGTATATTACGTAATAAGGATAGTAATTATATTTTACGAAGTACCTATTACGTATTAAATTATATATTTATTTTAAATATCGTATATATAGACCTTTTTTTTTTATTTATTTTTATTTTAATAGTTAAGCTACTTTTATTATACTCCGTATGCCCATTGCTACGTACTATAACTCGTGATAGATAGCACAGTCTATTAACCTCGTCTCAAAGCTCCATCCTGCTTTGTAAAGGTCGAATTCCACGGGCTTGTTCTACTGTCCTCGGAACTTATTCTTCTGATCCTACGTTTCCTGTAAGTCAGATTAAGGCAGGGTCACATAATGAGCATGCTTGACTGATCTGCTCCAGGAGTTGATTGCCTCTCATAAATCGGATCTCGAAAAAGGTGTCGTTGCTTATTCGCTAATTTCTGTTCAGTCAGAAATAGCTATACAATTATCCGCAAGCGTACAATTCAGTCTCGAATCCCGAACAAGAATCAATGCAGACATATCAATGACAGCCCGGCAAAGCCAAACAATGGGACGTGTTGCAACAAACCCGGCAGTGACACCAAATGGAACACCTTGACCTCTCAACCATTTAAATCGGCTGACAAGAGCCTCTCACAACAACCCTAGAGTCGGACAAACAGGCCTCAGCCGCACACGATGAAATTGTCAGCAGAGGCTGCGCTGGCAATGCATGTCAGCCATTAGGAAGCCTGATCCAAGTTGGGGGCCAGAAGCGAATTCACCCCCGCTACACCTGCAGCCCGCTAGCGTCACGTCCAATCGCTCAGCCCTAACAGCAACATCTCCTCACATGAGGTTGCCGCCTAGAGACCACGGCCTGTGGTCATCATCATGGCCTCATCTTAAGTGTTGCAGCCTGATGTGGGCGGTGTGATACTTTCTGCCATGCGTCTATGTAGCAATCGACAGTTCTCAACGAAATCAGCGCGTCAAGCTCACCCGTAACCAGCTGCCGGGGACACTGAGGAGGCGAGGAAATATCGCGATCGTGCCACCCGTGGCTCGTCACCCACTGTGCCTTCGCCATGATCATCCCTAGCCTCGACGTTGTTTACCCAATCCACATGAATCATGTGCCGCCAGGATGGAGACCTCTCGTGAAGTGAGAATTCGTAGAACCCTCTAAAGAGTCTCAATCAAGCTTACACACTGCAGTCTCATATGTGTCCATGACTTGGGCGGGTCCCCCAAGTCAAGCTGGCACCATGATGAATCTGGCAAAACCTGGATCTCAGACCCCGACTTTCTCGGGAGTTTCAAGGATTCAGTCCGGGTTTGGACCTATGGATACAACTCGGACCCGGCGGCAAACATGACGCCTGCAAGCATCGCGCTCCATGCCGACGAGCTCTTGATATCGATGATATCCAACTACGGCAAATATCCTGTTAGTAAAACCCATCAACAACTCTCAATTGGACGTATGGAACTGATAAACGTGTTCCCAGGGCGGCTCTACTGTTTTCATTGCCCATGGGCTTGGAGGGATCATTGTCAAAAAGGTACGTTGTCAGCTGCTGTCTTCAATAGACTTTATAGCTTAACACCAATCGACTGCAGGCAATTGAGCTATCGTCCAACTACGTAGAATACTTCGCTATCAAAGGGTCCACTGTCGGCGTCGTCTTTCTCGATACAGTTCACCATGCAACAGACTCCGAGGGAGTCCTGGAAGCTGTCAAATCAACAGTGGCAGCGACTCTGCTCAAGCACTCCACAAGACCGTCCGTTGACGATGTCAGACAATTTGCGGAAGCTGTTCGAGAAGTCAACAAGACCTTTCTCACACAGGCGCCATTAGACTTGACAATTCTCAACTTCATTGCCATGCGTCGAATTGAAATCACGTCTGCAGATGGTACAACCTACAAGACTTTGGTGAGGGAGCCTTCTTCTTTTCCACGGCACTTGCGGACCAGGAGCTCATCAGTGGACTAGCTTGTGCCCAAACGACGGGCCGATATGGATCCAACACAGGGCCAGAACTTGCCGGTAGCTTGCCATCACTTTCAGTTAACGCAGTTCCCATCCCCTTCAGATAAGATATACAGCCTATTGGCAGATCAGGTTGGCGATATGATGACAAAGCTATCGTCTTCAACCAACAAACGAGTGTTCTTCGCGCCGCCACCCCCTTTGGCACCCACGACAGCTAATCCCCCGCCACCTTCACCACCTCCTGGTCCTCCTGGGCCTCCAGGCCCGCCGGGCCCGCCAGGTAAAGATGGCATATGAGAATCAGTTGAGTAAAGAGAAACTGAAGGTTATCTCATGGGACCCCCAGTGTCTCTGCCGCCGCCACCACGGAGTGGGATCCCCATGGGTCCACCACCGCGAGATCAGGCCAACGAGGCATTCAGTTTGTGGGCCAAGAAGAAAGAAGCTGGTAAGCACGACCTCTTCTCATCACAACAAAATGTTCTCTCGACGTGGAATCTGTGATCTAATCTATATTTAGCCGACAAAAAAAGGCACCGAGATATCCTTGTTAACAAACTCGGCCAATGGGACGAGCATCATCTCGGACACGATATACATCCGACACCAGATACTTGTACCTGGATACAGTCCCACGACTTCTTCAAAAGCTGGGTCAAGTCCAACAAGACCGCGGGTCTTTTTGTCCAGGGCGCCACGGGATGCGGTAAAACTCATCTGGCCAAGTCCATCGCCAACTACCTGTCCTGGGACCGGCCTCGATCTCCCCCAGACAACAATATAGTGCTCTCGTTCTTTTGCAACGTCAGCACTGTTGGGAACAAGAAGCCACCGATCGCCCAGTATTTCGTCCGATCGCTTCTTCAACTACGGCCAGTCTGGTCTGAGTCTATAGCGCCTTACTATCGATGGCAGGAGCTGAAGAGCCGCTTCGAGCTGCCCGCACTGTTTGACATCCTACGCGACATCATGAGCCAGATGCAATATAGTACGGGCCCGCCAAAGACGACGGCTGTTTTTCTCATCGTGGATGGTCTGGATGACTGTGATGTTACCTATGCCCGGGAATTCCTCTGCCTCGTGGGAAGTCTCCTTGACCACCCGGTGGCTCGCTCATCCCCAGCTGCCGGCCCTTCTCTTCCAGGACAAGGATATCCGCGCGAAACTGTCAGGTTCAAGTTCTTATTGACGTATAGCGCTTGCGAGATACTGAATCTGAACTCCTGCGTACCCAATTCCGCTAGGATTCTGATGACTGATTCTGCAATCCGCAAAGATATCGGTACTTACGTGGACAGGGAGTTGGACATCCTGTCTACGCTTCGGGATCTGAACGGGCCGCCAGAAGGGATTCGATCTTGGATCAAGAATAAGTCGGAGTCGTTCTTTTGGTTCGCAAAGTATTCCATCGAAGACGCAATGAGTACGGTCGAAGATGGCGAGGGGTATTCCTTCAGCGGGAGGGTACTTCCGTGCCCTTCTAGCCTGGGGAAATACTACGACAGAGATCTCCTACCATTGTTCCAGACCATCGACGAAGGTGGGAAACATGCTCTGTCAGCTGTGCAAATCGTACTGGGCTATCTCGGTATACCCACCAGAGCCGAAATATGCGATGCAATCGCCTGTCTTCGCGGAGACCCCAACTTGAGATTCCTCGACCTCCCCAACTTCTTGAGACAACGGTGCCCCAGGCTCATTCATTCTTCGGATGAAGGGGATTGCAGAATCAGTCATCCTTCTCTGATTTACCACGTCAGACGTTACTACCTCAGCGAGAAAGAGCAGCACGCAAACATGGCATTCCTGTGTATAAAGTACCTCTCCAAATCTGACTTTGGAAGCTTCAAATCGATCATGTCTCTCAACACCTCAGCGCGTCACCCGTTCTATTCATATGCGGCAAACAACTGGAGAGAACATCTCCGTCGTGCGGGCGACAAGATGGTCAGACTGCTCCCTCTGCTGGGCGATTTCGTCAACTCTGCGAACTACAGAACCTGGTCAGCGCATTACTCCTGGAACATTGAATTTACACATCATCGGATGGTGATAGATGAAACCTTCCTCTCTCCCGTGTTCACATTCATTGATGCTAATATTGGCCATCTGACCCACGAAATTCAGTGGGCAGGGAGGGGAGAGGCGTGGTCTTGGAAGAATGAGCTTCTCAGACAGACATGGCGGTACTTGTACGAGCGTAAACAAACCCCCGGAATCGCCAGGCTCATTGAATATTGGAGGCCCGACTCTTGTTTCTCGGTACACAACTTCTTCGGCCATACTCCTCTGATGCATGCAGCAGGCTCAGCAGAGGGACAACTCGACATGGTCGAATACTTCCTGAAGCGGACCAAAGACGTCAACGAGCGAGGCTCGGTGAGGGGCGATACCGCTTTGATGACATTATGCACGCAACTGAGAACGCGCGATGAAGACCTGATGGCACGATTGGTCACATCACTCCTTGATGCCGGGGCTGATCCAAATATCTCGGATAAATGGGGCGAAACGCCTTTAGTCAACCCTTGCAGTGTAGGAGATGCTGCCATGGTCGAGCTGCTCCTCCGAGCGGGAGCCAGGCCTGACATGTTGAGCATACACAGGCCAATCATGCATCCCCTCCGCGAAGCAATCATGCAGCATCACAATGAGGTCGCCAGACTCTTGATCGACTACGGTGTCGATCTGAGCTTGCATTTCCCGTGGCCAAACCTTCAGTTGCCCTTAACAGCTGCCATCACCGAACAAAACTTCGACATCTTCATGCTCCTCTTGGACAGAGTTGAAGATATCAATCAGCTAGATGGCATGGGATACGCTGCGATTCACCTGTTGACAGGCCCGCTGTGCAACAATTGGCTACCGCATCTTCTGAGACGACCTGATGTCGACCTAGAGCTTCTCTCCAACGGTATTTCAGGCGATCGAAAGAAGTTTATCCGTCGGACTGCGCTAAGCTTTGCCATCGTTGACGATAACTTCAAGGCGGTAGAGCTACTATTGGAAGCAGGGGCAAGCCCACGTCGTCACCCTGCATCGCTTGATGAGACGCCCCTTTTGATAGCGGTTGAAATGGCGAGGACGACAAAAAACAAAGAAAGGCACGTTGGTTTCTGATCCCTCTCGATGGCTCGCACATTGCTTTCTTGTTAAACCTATATCATTCCTCCAACAGCAAGCTAACTGGGGAAATTCTAGTGTGGAGGAAAGCGAGGTTGATATCAGCACGGGCAACACCGACATAGTCGAGCTGCTCCTCGCCTATCAATCGCCCATCAACACGTTGAATTGGAAGTCGAAGAAGTATGCCAAGTCCCCGTTAATGGTGGCTGTAGACTACAAGGACCAAAACATGGTAGAACTCCTCCTGCGGCACGGAGCGGACCCGACCCTAGAGGAGGCCTACGGAATGCCAGGCCCCCTCGACGCCGCCATGCTTGACGACGAAGACATTGCTATGGGTATGATCAAAGCTTTACTCGAGAACCCTTTGCCACCAAGCATCAATTACGTCCCGGACAACCCAGACTTCCAGCATATCCTCATCGAGGCGAGCGATATGAAGCCGGAGGTCACGCGGTTGCTTCTCGCCCACGGTGCTGACACGAAACGTTTCTTGTCCTACATCCCCAGGTGCTTCACCACTCCCCTCCATCGGGCTGTGGAAGAAAACAACATTGAGACTGCCAAAGTTCTTATCGAACACGAGCCAGCCCTGGTAACCTACCAGTGCGAAGAAGGACTAGTCTACGAGACGCCTCTCCACATCGCTGCCAGAGACGGACACATTGAGATTCTGCGATGTCTCCTCGATGCGGGTGCTCAATCCAACCTGGCCTCATGCCATTGGCAGGAAACACCGCTTTGGTTAGCCTGCGAATCAGGAAGGCTAGAAATTGCGCAATTGCTCTACGAAATGTCGCCAGAGGCACTGGAACTCCCCTCTTACGACGGCAAAACTCCGCTTATGGTAGCCTGCGAAGATGGGAACCTCCAACTGGTCCAGTTTCTTCTGAAAAAAGGCGCCGATATCACAGCACGATGCTCAATGGGAGCATCATGTGTCTGTAGCACAGTTTCCGAGGACAACGGCGCGGCTTACAAGATCATTGATCTGTTGCTTCAGCACGGTCTCGGCATTGATGATGTCGTCAGCTCAACCGGCTTCACGGTACTCGGAGAGGCTTGCAGGGCCGGAGATATCCCGACTGTCCGGCTTTTGCTCGACAAGGGCGCGGATCCGGCAAAGGGGCAGAAGTGGCCCGGAGACACTTCCACTACATGGAGGTCGGCGCTGCGGGTCGCCTCCTTGTACGAGTGTGTCAAGGTGGTTGAGGTGCTGCTCGAACATCCTCAGCTAGCGTCCTTTATCGAGAACGTTGACTATTACGGCGACAATGTGCTGCATATTGACGGATCATATCACCATCAACAAGCTTCCGAAATGGCCACGCTAGTGTACTCTGCGTGCGAGAAGTTGAAAGCCGAGACTGGCGTCGACCATTTTCAACGGATGCTTGATGTTAAGGACAGCGATATGCATACGCCTCTGGACATGGCGATCGATATGCCGCACAAGGGTCTGAGCAGCGAGGCGATAAAAGTCATTGACGTTTACTTGAAGCGCTACATCGCGGAACTGACAGCCGTCGAAACTCGGACATTTGCCCAGCATAAGCATCTCATGCGAGACATCGCCATCATTCTCCTCGAGAGACGGGAATATGACGAGGAAGCCATTCGATTGTTCCAGGCTTTGATAGTCGATGTATGGGTCACAAGAGAGGACGGACAGTGCCTCGAGACGGTGTTCTGCATGGCCAACTGCGATCTCTGCGACGAAGACGAGCAGGAACAAGTTTCGTTTTGCCGGCTTTGCGGTCTCAGGGTTGGCATGAAGTGCGTCGACGAGGCGAGGCTACAGCACGAGTTGGTTGATGTCCCCGTCATCAAAGACCGCAGCATTATTGACCTCAACTCTGAGCCAGTTAATCAGATCATGGACCTGTTGGAGAACGATTTTATCGTCGCAGATTGTCCTCGCCCAGTAGAGGAAGCTCTCATCTCGCATTTCCAAGTCGATCCAGGCTCGGAAGACACAACTCTTTCGCTCGCTGTACTCCATGCTTTCGGGTACCTGGAATTCCGACGTCGGGCTTGGAGTCCTTACCTGCCCCTAGCCCCTGCGGTCTACAAGCGGATACAGCCTTGGGAGCCATTGTTCACAAAACCGAGGCGAGACTTTGAAGAATGGGTTTGGGATATCGAGACGTCGCCCTACAGGTTGCGGGACGAGCTGAATTACTTGCTTGAGTCAGGCAGAAGAGTGGCGTATAAAGACGAGCAGGCGACGAGGCTGGAGCAGATTCTCAGTGACGTTGGGTGGTTGTACCCGCAACGAGAGGTTTATGATGATGATGATTCGGGTGTTGTGATTGATGAATATTCCTGTAGCGCCGAGGAAATGTTGGGGAGAAAAAGAAGATGAAAGGATGCGTGGAGTGTTTGTCGGTCTGTTGTCGACGACTCACGAGATTGAAACGGAATTATGACTGATGAAAACACGACATTGAGAGTTCAGGTTTTTATTCCACTTGAATAGCAAGATACTTCATCTACCTCAGCCCACGTCTCCTTTCGCGCCCAGAGCAGCAAACATCTTGACATCGAGGATAATGCCTTTGCCGTACCAGAGGCATACAATGATGGCAAAGGCCAGTTCTTATGGGACCGGCACTAACCGTCATCGTTTCACAGCGATGACGGTGATACCTTCGGCATTGCTGGAATTCGCCAAGGATGGTTTTGTAGGCGAGGCCGCAGTTGGTGCAGAGGAGGTTGTGCTGGAATTGGCGACACATGGTTGTTGGTTATTGATGAACCTTTGGCTGGAAGCGTATTCTTCTCTCTAGCTAAGTTAGTAGTTAGATATATATCTTCTAGGAAGTCTTTTGTGAGAGAGCCGTTGTATTCGTTGAGGTTGTTTACACCCTCGGATTCTCAGGACTGAGAGGTGCGAAACAATTAATTGTTGTTGTCTTAGTCTTTGAAACTCTGCTTGATGACCAAAGGTCCGAGGCGGTCGAAGGTTGAACAAAGAGATGCTATTTATACCGGCGCAGGTGGTGGCTTTCTCCCCGACGAGGGGAGTGAATGGGAGTTGGGCTCTAGCGAACTGTTAGGCTCCTTTGGGATGAAAGAAGGCATAATCACGTCAAAGAATCTAAGCCACCGACCTTGAATGGAGCTCGTCATTCACCTTGAGTGAAACAAATGGATGCGATTCAGTGTAATCTCCCAGTAAGGAGAACAGGTCAAGGAGTTTATATGCGAGTGGTCGCACTTGATGCTTCCTTTACCAATTCTCTACACACCACCTTGCAGTCGCCAGCAACAAGTCCCAAAATTCAGTTTCAAGACTCAGTTCCATTACCAATCAACCAAGCCATTTCAGAGCATCTCCCAATTACCTGAACGCATCGTTCTAGTCACCCATCATGTGTCATTTCGTGTGGTACGACAACGAATGCTCCAGCTGCGGCTTCACTTTCGACCGCAAGCTCACGAAATGCAAATACGTCAACGCGCGGGTTCCGCGACCTGCTTGCGATAAAACATATCTGAGAGAGAACCAGCCGGACTTCAGGTGTCAGAATTGCACAGCTCCGGAAACGCCTTGGAGGAAAGTGGAGTTCTTGGTGAATGCTACTGAGGGGAACACCAATGCTGACGAGGCGGACTACCACACTGATTACCCGACTGATGATGACTGCAGAGATGGTGATTATGAGGGTGACGACGAGTCTGCTTCCTCTGAAGATGACGGTGATGTAGAGTCTCAAAGGAAAATTGGGAACTCGAAGAGGAAGCTGGAGGGATCTACCTGGCAAGGCACGAGGAGAAGTTTGAAGAGGGCTTGCAAGGAACGGGGAATAAGGCGGATTGGAATGTTGAACTGAACAGAATAGCAACACAAGCTAGGCTCAAACATTTTCCCGACGCTGCTATCGATAGGCAATTGTTAAGCAAGTCTTCAACAGGTGCAAAGTCACGGTCAGTGCTGGGTTGCCGAAAAACAACCCGGGGTGCTTGATTCCCAAAGTGTTTGTGTCGGCACGATCGTATTCAACTTTAGTCTGCGGACGGGGTCCGTAAGTCTTCCGTGGCATCAACAGCAGAGCGGGACAGGGTTGAGAGGTTCACACTGCCCGAGGCTTACCGGAGCACGCAAGACATCATGACATCTGTAGTAAGGGGCATTTGATCACCGGAAAGAGTCAGTAACCGGTCGATTACGCCGACATACTGACTAGAAGGCAAGAATACGGCTGTCGTTTTGCAGGGGAATGGCTGGTTACCCCGCGTCTCTAATTCGAACAAGCGGCAACAGCCCCTCTGAAGAAGCAACTCTTCCCCACCAGCTGCCCAGCTACCCCAGACTATCCTTAGCCTGGTACGGCAGGTGATCGACTCTATTGCTCCGTTGTCCCCATCGTACGTCAATCTAGCAGCTCTGCAGAGACCACAAAGCCGTGCCTGCCAACCGACCTTTATCCGTCTGCGGGGATTTGGACCTAGGAGACTGGCTACAAGCCCGAGAGCGGATTCCCTTGAGGACTACGGATAAGCGCGGTAGCAGTTCACGGTAGTTACGCAGAGCGTTATGAGTGAGTAGCACTGTTTGAGGCATACGAAGTAGATGGCAATAAATAACCCTTGGAGTTACCCTCTATATGCCAAGTGTAGACATTAATGGATCAGTGTTCGCAATCATGAGAGGTTCTCGCTCTTCAGTGTTTCAACTCCTGTTGGCGGTTGGGTCAGCCCGAGCTGTCACTCCCGAGGACTGCGCATCGTTTGCGAGCCGTCTTAGTCTTCCCAATACGACAGTCCATGAGACAGCATTCATCACAGCAGGGACGAACATTTCGCTCCCTGATAACCACCCGTCGTGCGCTATCCCCTTTCAAATTTCCAGCGTTGATCTCTGTCGGGTTGTCTTTGTCACTACTACCGGTCCGACAAGCAATATCTCCCTTGAGGCTTGGCTTCCATCAGAATGGAGTGGGCGTTTCTTGGGCACTGGTAACGGCGGTATGAATGGATGCATCAAATACGGCGACCTCAACTACGGGGCCACACACCAATTTGCCACAATTGGCACCAACAACGGCCACGACGGAACGTCTGGTGCCCCGTTCCTCAACAACCCCGGAGTGATTGAGGATTACGTCTACCGCGCCGTGCATCTTGAAGCTCAGTTGGGTAAAGAGATTGTTCAGCAATACTACGGCAAAGAGCACACCAAGTCATACTACCTGGGCTGCTCCACAGGCGGTAGACAGGGGTTTAAGGAGGCCCAGAGCTTTCCGGAAGACTACGACGGTATCGTTGCCGGTGCTCCAGCTTTCGATTTGATTGCACTCATGTACTGGACTGGCCAACTTTTCCTCAAGACGGGGACCAATGAGACTTCGCGGTTCCTCTCTCCCGCGGAGTGGGAGCTGGTGTATGCCGATATACTGAAGCAGTGTGACGGATTAGACGGTCTTGAAGACGGCATCCTCGAAGACCCGAGCTTGTGCCAATACCGACCTGAAGGACTCATTTGCGCCGACGGCTCTTCTGATAGCTGTCTGAGCGGAGAGCAAGCCGCTACTGTGCGGGCCGTCTTCTCTCCAGTCTACGGATTGGATGGGCAGTACATCTTCCCCAGACTACAGCCAGGTTCTAACGCGACTGCACGACTTCTCAACGGCCAGCCCCATCAGTACCCCTTGGACTGGTGGCGCTATGTTGTATACAACGATACAAACTGGAACCTTTCTACAATGACCCCGGAGGATTACGCTGTTGCTTCTAAGCAAGACCCGTGGAAGGTTTCGACGTGGGAAGGAGACTTATCCGCTGCCAAGGATCGTGGAGTCAAAATCCTGCATTACCACGGTATGCAAGACAATGCGATCAGCAGTGACAACTCTGAGAGGTACTATAACCATGTGTCACGAACCATGAACCTCCCTTCGAAGGAGTTGGATGAATTCTATCGGTATTTCAGGATATCCGGCATGGCGCACTGTCGCGATGGCACTGGGGCTAGCATGATCGGTGGCAACCCTGAGACTTTCGCCTCCTACGACCCAGATGCCAATGTACTGGCGGCGATCGTGCGCTGGGTTGAGGAGGATGTTGCACCCGATTTCATTCTTGGTAGCCGCTTGACGACCTCCGGGGAGGTTGATCTGCAGAGGAAGCATTGTAAATATCCCACAAGGAACGTGTTCAAGGGACAAGGAGATCCCGTGAAGCCGGATGGGTGGGAATGCGTTTAGTGTCTAATGCGAAGCACGTGTATTTGAGATATCTATGCTATCACAATTGCCGACCATGGATCACTGACTCACGCCTCTGATCGACTTGATCTTGACTTTCATTGGCTTCAACAGCCTCGTTACACCATTGTCTACCCACTTAAGGGTGCTCTCGTTCGTCTCAAATAGCTCCATCTCAAAGCGGCCAAAAAGGTTTGCAAAGCACACGTAGAGTTCAAGATATGCAATGCTGTATACGTTAGGCCCGCGTTTCCCCTCGTGAGGTCGAGAGCATGTGAACTTACTTCACGCCTATACAAGCTCGGGGCCCTTTGCTAAAAGGCACAAAGTACTTCTCCAGTTCCCAGCCGGCTTTGCCAAGCCACCTTTCAGGAATGAATCTCTCAGGCTCCGAATAGACGTCCGAGTTGACGTTTATCAGCCGAAGAGCCTGTGAAACGGTGGTCTTGAAGAAGCGCAGAGTCAGTGATTTTGCACACCGCGTAGCTAGTCTGGTCTGTGACTTACGCCTTCCGGAAGATAATGTCCTCCGACGGAAGCGCCGCCGGCAGGGACTCTGCGGGGAATGATACCAGGCACTGGGGATCCCAGCCGAAGTATCTCTTTGATGACTGCAGTCTGGAAACATGTGTAATAAGTATGCTGCGTCGAATTTTCCTTCCAAATCAACTTCGACTCACAAGATAAGGCAGTTTGGAAACAGTGTGATACTCATAGAGGCCATCCATATTCGTTGGCGCGTTTTTCAACTCGTCCAGCATCTTCTGAAGCTTATCCGGGTTTCTGAGCAAGAAGTATGTGCCAAAGCTAAGGGCAATGCTGTTGGTATCAGTTCCACCAAAACACACAGACAATGCTTCGTCAACGAGTGCCTCTTGGCCAAGCTTGTGGAGCCTCTTTGTTTTCTCTGCTTCCAGAAGGAGATCGAAATATGTCTTGCGACCATCAGCTATTCTTTTGCCGTTGCGCTGTTTCTCTTCGTCTTCCTTGATCCATGTGGCGCATTGCTATTTGAATGTCAGCAGGAGATCTTGAAATTAACGGTAAGAAGAATTCTAATGATTGTACTCACCTCTCGAAAAGCGACGTAGCTTGGCAGAACCGTCCTTGCTACACTGAGAGGTAAACTCATAGCAATGTGGCTGATCAAGGGAAAGTGCTTAGTGAGGAAGAACTTGTCAACAAACTTGCCCAACAAGCTCAAAAACGGTGGCTCGTCTTCGTCGGAATCAACAAAATTCAACTGTCTATCAAACAAGACAGGCATAATAGTGTCAACCTAGAGACTGTTCAGCACTCAAGATCACAGTCTCAGTAGACCGCAGATAACGCCCTGAAGCTCGAGGTTGCGATAATGTAGCTGGACTGAGGTATAACCTACAGTAATGCATTGATAAAATGGTTGCAAGTTAATCGGCTGGTCATTCTTGAGGGCACGCTGCGCCTTTGCCATTGCTCTCTGCACAACATCCAGAACGACAGGCGCCAAGTGTTCAACATGTTTGGTCGAGAAAAGGGATTGGACTGTATTCTTTCGTTCTTTGTGAACCTCGGGATCAATCAACATGATGATGGAGTGCTTGATACCACCAGCGCTCTGGAAGAAGTCGGGATCCTTGATATATTTTGTGCCACTTCCGTAAGCCCTATTAACCTGAGTAAGCAGAGTCTCCCTCAAAGACGTCATACTATAAACAGAGCTTAACTTACTCTTTGAAGTAATCTGGATCACTAACGTGCACGCGACTGGGAGACACCCGAACCACTGGGCCTGAATAGTGCATCACTGATCAGTATGCAAACGACACAGCCAGGAACGCCTGCGTAGATCTCGGAGATTTGCTCACCATACTTGGCGTGAAGATCAGGGTACTCCTTGATGTAGTTGCCATTGAGAATCACATCTTGGTAAAATTCGTACCAGTACGTTGCGGCCGCATACCAAGGACCAGGGATCTTCTTAAGAGGGTGGAAGAAGATTCTGTAGACAACACCAACTATAAGGTACACAGAAAAGCACAGGGCAAGAATTCTTGGCGAGAAAAGAACCTCGCGCAGTTGAAATAGAGCCATTGTAGCAATTGAGGAAACGTAGATGGCTCAACTAGGTTGGTCCTTGAAGACCCCTCTCGAGCACGATCCAGATGATGGCGCGAGACTTGTTTCTTATGTTCAGGGAAATCTCGCAGTTTCCTTATCTTCTGATGGATCTTGAGGGCAAAGCCCTATTATCGCCCTTGATTCTGGTGAGTTCTGGGTAAGACAGACTTGAGATGTTGTTTCTGCCACCATGTATCAGTTTGACGGTGCTGAGCTTCTGGATCGCCTAGTCTGTAGATGTCCAACAAAGAAATGTAAGGAAAATCACCATTGTTTGCTGCCAGATCTAAGCGCCCCCTGTCGCGCGGAGGCGGTCACGCGGCGTAGCAGGCCAAGCAATGTTTGTCAACTCAGCGAACTCCATCTGGTACGGGTCATGTACCCAGCGATCATTGGAAAGCCCACCCAATCCCCGCAGGGCGAAGCCTTCTTTCGAGACGATTCAACCGCTCTTCACCACACATCTATCAAGGCATCCGGAGGGATGGCAACGTGTATGAGAATGATTGGGTGCGTGTCACATTTAGCAAGCAAACAATACGCCCAATCTGATGTGGGCCGATTATCCGCAATATCCAGTACCCAGTCAGAAAGTTCGGGGAATCACTCTAATCAGTATCAACTAGTTGAACACCCATGTAAACCTACTTCAGCTGACGCCACAAAGCAAACACCTGTGGAGTTTTCTGCCTGTGGCGTTTGACTTTTCCTCGAAGATGATCGCTTTTCCCAGCGCGGAAGAAGGCCGATAAAGCCCCTGTCTACTACTGTCTTGACTGATAAGCGGGTCATGACAAGTTGAACCAACACCAAGTTGATGGATTCAACCCCTGGTACCTGGGAATTGAACAGGGGTTCAAGTTGAAGAATCATAACTCCGGTGACTTACAGACTCGTTGGACAGGCCGGTCGTTGAACGTCTGCAAGCGATGATGCGATAATATGGGGACTTTGCGAGCATCGGCAAGGGCCAGAAGACGAGATTTGATGTAATGTATATTCCACTTAGCATTTAATGATTATCCATATGTGCTGGCATGGAAATCTAAACTTCTTTGGGCAACGATTCTTTGAATTAGAAGCAGGGCCAGACATCATTTCGTCCTCCAAAGGCTATAATCCTTGAAAGGCGTTGATAGGGATACTTGACTTCCGTAAGAACTCGTACTATGTATGGAACTACGGGCTATCTTTTCTTCTGGAACATCCATCAGTTCTCTTGCCGGCGGGATAGAGCCACCTTGGATAGCTCACAGTAGAATATTTCGTCAGCTTGTACACAACGCTCGGTTAAACAGACATGTGAAGCATGGACCGCTCCAACGTGAGGATTATCTGGAGCTAACGAAGTACACGTGTTCAATGATGTTAAGCTTTCATTCGCGGACTCTAATCGGCATTACTTGCTCTTCTACGAGAAAGCCCAGTTTCTAGGTCAAGTGTTCCTCGATTCGCATCTGTCTCACTGGATCGCGACATTGAACAAGTCGAGACTTCCTTTTTGTGTAGATTAAAACAGTATAGAAATGATTCCAGGAAAAGACAATTGTGCAGAAGCTGAGACATGTTTGCTCAACTAGAAGCTGATCTTACTCACAACAACTTGACACGTCCGAGACAGTCGAATCTCACGAGAGGTTTCCCACGACGGAGTTGCCGATAAGGACGGAGAAGATGACGAATCCTTTCTTGACAGAAACAAAAATTCTTGTCTGGCCGGGCTGAAGGCTTGCGGCACAGTTGCAAGTCTCTTTTGGTGTGGTGGATGCTGGACTGTGGAGGCAACAGGAACCGGGGTAGACAACCCTCGTAGAACCGGGCAGCGATACGACACGACAAGTCTTGAAGACCCATAGCCAAATCGTCACGATGCGAAAGGTCGGAGGATGGTGGCGGGAATTTTCGACTGTCGCTTGAACTGATGAACCAACCGGGCGAAGAGTGTGGATATCTTTGGTTGAACTGAAAAACAGCGTGTTCCGTCCTTCATCGTTGTCCATTTCACTCCATCTTCAGTCCCTCAAGCCTCCTTCAAACCTGATTACAAGACTCACTCCTGGGCCTTTCTTATTGAAGCTAGAATGATCTCTCCAGAGTCTTCCCTCTTCGGAAGCCCGCAAACGGGCGTTGGAAACGACTTTGATGGCGTACCCAGCATGTCTGAAAAGAGTCAAGTGGATCCAATCCACTTCGACGTTGAAGACGATGGAGAGTCGACGATGTCGCCAGGCTCCCCAGTCTCTTCCTATTCGACTTTCACAGACTCGCTTTCTTCATCTCAGGCTTTCACTGTCTCTTCGGAAGCGGGAAGCACGTTGGACATACGGTCGCATATTGGCATCAACTCCGACGAGGTAAATGCCAACTATGTCCGTATTCCAGACTTTTTCTCTTCGATCATGTCTGTGAAGCCCGTCATCAACGTCAATTACGATAAAGTAAAGAGAGAGGCAGATAGTTGGATTGCCACGTTAGTGAAAATCTTGATGAGAACCATTTCCGGAGCAACACTAACATGGAATGGTCACAGGATCCTTAGTCTCAGTGAAGCTCAAGCCCGAAGAAACGTTCAAGCTAACTTCGCGTTCATGAATGCGATGTGGGTCCCATATGCTGATGAAGAGGCATTTCGAACGATGATCGATTGGAACAATTGGGTACGTCACACTCCAATCAGTGATCATTTTGTTGGCTAAAATTGAGCTAATGTAATTGTAAGGTCTTTGCATTTGATGACCGTGAGTAAAACATGGCAACATTACTTCGCCTGAGCCCGCTGACTCTTGACAGAGTTTGATGAAGGCCATCTGAAAGACGACCCTATTAAGGCAGTAGAGGAGCTGCATGCCACTTTTGCGGTGCTAGAAGACAACCAAGCCCCAGTCCAGCTTCATGACAACCCAATTAGATATATCTTTCAAACTGTCTGGGATCGGTTCAAAAAGGTTTGTCCTCCGACTTTAATATGGTTGTACTGTAGCATCTATTTCTGTCAATAGTACGTTGCTGACAGTCGCGCTCCTACAAGCAGAGATCTACGAAAGGTAGTGAACACTTTGCAACACTGTTATGCTTTCCAGAATGTAGGCCAAAAACTTAAGTTTGCTAACACGACCATCATAGAGTTGCAGGAGCGTTATAAAGCTTCCATCAGATACTACTTCTCCGGCCTGCTGAGTCAAGTTGGAGTTCAAAGCTCCAAGTCCGCCATGGCTCTCACTGTCGAGGAGTACATGGGCTTCCGAAGAGGAACTATCGGATGTCAGCCATCTTATGTACTGGTTGAGTGAGTGTTTTCCCGAAGGATAGATAAGTGAACCGTAGGCTGACCGCACGATCTGCAGATTCTGCCACGGCATTAATGTGCCTTCAAATGTCATAGACCACGAGAGCTTGCAAGAGTGCAGACGTATTTCCGCCGACCTAGTCATTCTGTAGGTTGGCATGGTGTTAGGCGATGATTGTTGGCTAACTCTCACACAGTGTCAATGACATCTTATCATATCGCAAGGATTTGGTAAGTCGGGTGCCAATCTCAAATCCGACTAACTGTTGACAATGACCCTTGTAGGAACAAGGTGTACAGCACAACTTGATTGCTTTGTTGAAATCTCAGGGGCACTCTACTCAGGAGGCTATTGACGAGATCGGAGACATGATCGATGAATGCTATCGCGATTGGTATCTGGCTTTATCGAAGATGCCAATCTGCGGAGAGAAGGTCGATCAGGAGGTTATTCGGTACCTTGATGGCTGTCGTGATGTCGCCCTTGGCAATCTTCATTGGAGGTTCGTGTCTCCTGATCTTGAGCACTTTTCACATCACTGAGTCACTGACCTTCACCACAGTTACGAGAGCGGACGGTACCTTGGTGATGAAGGCGCTTTAGTCAGACAAACACGAGTCTTGCGATTACCCGAAGCCTAAGGTGTATGTGGTGGATAGCTCATACATATATATAGTCGGAGTCTCAATAGAAGAAACATTCTTGTGTCGCTGAGATCCTCACACTGCCGCATCGATAAACGGCTTCCTCGTCTTTCGGACACGCGAGTGATGATTTCCGTTACGTGATGTGTCATGCGCCTCGACTATCCACCCTGTGAGCCTCGAGTGGCCTTGTTCTCATTACGATGACTTTTGGAACCTCCTCTTGTGCAAGGCTTTGACCTCCTCATCCAGGCCGGGAATGGGACCCTGCACCGCAATACTCGGCGCAACATCATTGATAGGAAGTGGCTTGACCTTGGCACCCGCCTTCAACCCAAATTCCTCGAGCCAACCAGAAAACTGCGCACTCGAAGACACGTAGACAATGGGTCCAAGTCCGACCCAGGCGTGGGCCGCAGCGCACATCGAGCAGTGCTCGCCGGAAGTGTACACCGAAGCCTTGGCCCGTTCCCCGGCGCTAAGGTTGAGTTGCGCCCAACGCGCGAGGGTGAATTCCGGATGCAATGTCCCATCGCGTTTCCCGTCTCCATTCTCGCCGGTGTTTACACGATTGCGGTCTTCGCGAATGATTTTGCCATCTCCGTTCACGAGCACGGAGCCGAAGGGATCGTCGCCGGCTTCGAGGGCTTCTCTTGCAAGCTCGACGCAGCGTTGCAGTATTGTGGGGTCTGGTGTGAGAGACATTGTGAGATTTGAACTGCTAGGGAAGTGAAGTAAGACAGTAGAGTGATGATTGTGCTGATCGGAATGCAGAGATAAATTGCGGGATAAGTTGACAAGCCAAGCATGATGATGTTGAGAGAGTTTGGATAATGCGGGATAATTCATGACGTAGTGGGGCGCGGGGCAACATTCTCCCAGAACAAGTACGACGCAGCTCTCATGTGAGAACGCAACGACGTCTACTTTTACTTGGATAGATAACTTTCAGTTGCCTTTTCATGTCACAAAGTTTAGTCGTTCCGGTTCGTCATGCCCATGTGTATCATGGAATTATCATGAAGTTGGTCATTTGACACCTGATACAAAGGAAGGGACACAAATACAACTCTCGATAGAAGCCAGTCAATTCGGACCAAATTTCAGTGAAATTTGAAGGAGAACTCTACCTAAAGTTGCCGCCAAGAAGGAATGAAACCTACAATACGAAGTCGCACCCCAAAACTCGACTAGAAACATCTACCCATGTAGCTCCCACGCGAGATAATCGAAAAAGACAATTATCAACACACTGGAACAGCCGTGTCTGTGACTATTTCAGGCGGTGGCGCTTCCTCAGACTCACCAGCTTGCGTAACTTTGCCGACAACCCTTTCGTACATATGGAGTCCAACGCCAAGGGCAATCTCCATCTCCCTCCACACCGTCTCGCCAGCTGACCAGCCGTGATCTCTGGGGATATGGGTGAGGTAATGATTGAACGTAGCCGCCACTTCCTCAGTAACCCGTTTTCCCAGAGAGTTAGTAGGCCTCGCGTGAACCAAAACATCCAGGATGTACGTGGTGAGCGTCATCAGCCCGGCTTCGGACATGCTGTAGCCCGGCACCAACATCATGAACGTACGTTCGCTGGCCATTCGAATCTTCCGCATCAAGTGCCATGCGTTGCGATGCATGGCTAGCCAGGGAAACCCAAACTCTGCCGCTTCGTCCAAGAGCCCAACCCCCAGGGAGGTGATGATATCGTAGGGAGGTAGGCTAGGTTTGGCGGGCTTTGATGGCTTCTTCCGTTTCTGCGTCGACTTCCTGGAGCCTTTGTCCTGGTTCTCACTCTCGGGTTCCTCTTGAGGGTGATCAAACCACAAACCCTCCGGGCAGTGGTCGAGGATGCGTACGATATCTTCAGCCGTGAAGTTTCCTGTCGAAGTCTCTCCCTTTTCATTGCAGTACCTCTCGTAGAACATCATAGAAACAGTCGCTCCTTCAGAAATACGTCTCCGGTTCTTGAGCTCCCTGTACAGCTTCGTCTGCGTTTTTGACCTCTTGAGCTGACTCATGTATACGCTCTTCAGGCCGGTTTGCATGAGAAAGCTCTTGATGTATCCGGTCGGGTCGCTTGGAGGGTTTCCCACGTAGAACTGGGACTTGCCGGCCAGTTCCATAATGAGCTCGATGTCCCACCACTTGGACTTGAGCAGACCTTCTTGGTACAAAGCATTGTAGAGATGCATAGTCGACATGACGGATAGTGTGTCGTTTGCGAGGCAGATTCCGACTCGATATGTTGCTGCTCGGAAGGTATACATAACCAGACCAGCCATGACGGGGTCAGTCTTCATCAATCGCAAGCGTTCCAGAGAGGGATCTGCGATAGGCTTCTTGAGCCGCTGTTTCTCGACGAGAATGGGGTCGCGTGTCATTTTGGACATGCTCATTACCGTACGTTGGAGAAGTGGGAAGCATCTGAGTGCCTTTGGGTCCATTCTTGTACTCTGGTGGATGTACCACGCCTGTGTCAGGAGCTCTTGCAGTGTCGACATCCCTCGCATAAATTGTACTCGAATGGACGGCAGGTTCTGTCCCATGACTCCATGAATGTCAATGAGAAGTTGCACTGCATACGCAAAGTAGAAGGGGATTTCCTTCGTCCGCATCGTTTCTCGGAACCCTCGCAAGACGCCATCGTCCACTGGCCAGTCTGGGATGTAACGAACGATGAAGTACATATCGTAAAGAACACCAGAGACCGCGTTCCGGTCAATGACAAAGTCGCCATGTGTCCTTGCTAATCTGATCTTTGGACTGCCTTTTGTGACTAATGGTGGGTTGATGGCGCCTTGATCTTTCGGAAGGAGCTGCTGCAGCATGCTGTAAGCGTTGGTGCAGTCTAGGACGCCCGCAACGTACGCGATCTCCTCCTTTGTTGGCTTCTCTGGGAAACGAAGCAGACCCTCCGAGTATTTTCGGATTTTCGTAGTTGTGAACGTGGCATTGTAGAGACAGATGACCCCGAACAGACCCCCTGGCTGAGATTGAAGCACTGGCGTGACGTCTTCGACGATGTTACGGGCAAGGTCGATGGCGGTGTTGGTGGCCAATGCAACGGAAACGAGCTCGTGGCGTCCTTCTCGGAACTGTTGCCACATGTACCTGACCCTCTGACGCATTCCGTAAAGGTCTTTCCAAACTAGCTGCCATACGAACTGAGCATCCCAGCTCGACATCTCGCTCTCGGCCTCGAAATTGGCATCGGTCTCCGACTTTGGTGGTCTCGTTGGTAGAGGTGCATCTGGGGCGTTGATGAATTTCGCGGACGGCTCAGACACAAATAGTCCTTCAAACTTGTTGGCTGGTGGCTGGGGTTTCTCGGCAGCATCGCCAGTTGAGGCTGCTGTGTTGGTTGGGGAAGCAGTTCGATGAGCTGTCAAAACGTGGCGTACTTGACACAAGACCCTGAGGAAGTAGAAATGGGTGCTGTCGTCTTGAGCGTTGGTCGTGGCACCATGCTCAACCAGCTGAGTGCTGAACTTGGCCCTGAGATCGATCACTCTATCAAGAGCGGCGGTTAGACTATCCGGAGGGGTGATGGCTGGCTTCTGTGATGTTGCGAGGAACTGAGCCAGCGGTAGGAGATCCTTGACGGCGAGGATGTATCGTTTGCGAGGTTTCTTCTGCGATGACTTTGATGCCTCTTTGGTTGACTTGCCCTTGCGTTGACTGGCTGGCTTGTCATCTTCCGGCACCGAGTCAGGTTTGTCGTCTGCTGTGTCTCGAAGCCCTGAGATGAGCTCTGCAGGACAACCGTACGCTCGTGCTGTGGTCGCGAGCCAAGTAGTAATGAAGTCCGTGTCCGTCTTGTAAGACTTGTAAACGCTGACAAGGGCTTCCGGGAGCATCGTGCTGGTTTGGGGTGAGTTGTGGACTCACACAACACATTGGCAACTCTGTGTACTGGTTGATACTGAGGAAACCAGACATTGAAGTCTGCGCAGGAGGAAGTAGCACCTTTTGCATGAGATTCTTGATTGACGACCATCTGAGGCGACCGGCGCGAAAAAGCGGGCGGCCGTGGCGCGGAAGCGAAAACCAACGGGAACTCTGCATGTTTGTTGGACCAACAGTGTTACGCCGCATGCAGCCCCCCTGAATTGATAAATGCCCCGGCAAACGGCCCCTTGGAGAGCGCCTGATGGTCCAATGGGATGTGTGCCATCGGGCGGATCACGTCCAACAATGCCCCATATGTTGGTGACTGGTTGGTGATTGCGACTGTTCCTTGCTTTCGCATGTGTTCAACACCTCGAGAGGGGTGATGATGGTGATTAAAAGCTGTTGGAAATCGGAAAGCCACCCTTGCATAGACATGCACAATGCTTAAGGGAATGCGTATGCGATGTGGATCAAAATTAGAAGGGGCCAACAGTTCAACTCTACTGCAACAACATGGCCCAAAGATGAATTGAAGGCGACGAAGGTCGTGGAGTTGGAGAGCTTGCTCCAAGGTTGCGGCTTATCAGTACCCGAAATGATTCAACAAAAGAGTGCTGGCTGTTGTGAGCAATAACACACGCGTAGACCGGATGTTGATGCATCGAAACGGCGGGGTAGCATAAGTAATTTATGCAGAGGAATTATTTTCATTATGCAGGTCAACCATCAAGGCAACTCCTACTTTATCTCGAGATAGATGTCTACAGCAAATATCTGTAATCAGGAGACATATCTCCGAGCTCCATCTTCTCGTCTTCCGTCAACGATGACTCCGCCGCGGTGCGATCTCTGTGCCTGTTTGCAGACCAGCAGCCAATCGCATACACCAAACATGCAAGGCCGCTGAGGATAACAAAAGCGATACTGATGCTGTAGCCAGGGATGTACTTTGGCGCATCCTTCTTCAGAAAAGCGAACACAGCAATGATACCGCCGATGTTGCCGAAACCAACCTGCCAAGCACTGCCGATAGAACGTCGGTGGTGGCCACCCAGGTTCATGTTGAACCAACAAACAATACTGGAAGGCTAAAGTTAGCACGCAGTTCTAATCACATCTACAGAGGATGCGGAATGCGTTGGTTGGACTTACATTGGCATGGCGGTGTACGCGCCCATGGCGACAAGGAACAGCGCCGCATACTGCACAGACGTGTTGTTGTGAACAGAAATCAAGATGGCGAACCCAGCGATTGCCACACAAATAGCAAAGATTGCGAATCCAAACCGGTGCCGCGTCTTATCTGAGATGAAGGCAATGATCATCGAGAAGCCAAAAGCCACAACCCAGGGTGGCACGCTGTGCAGCTGCGTCTGGATACTGTCGTATCCGTAGGTCTGGATGATACCCGGTGCGAAGTAGGCATACCCGTACGCCGGAACGATGAGGCCAAAGTACATGAAGCCTCCGACAATGACCTTGTAGTCCTTGAAGATGCGTCCGACGTCGCGGAAGGTGATCTTGCGCTCAACGGCAGAGCGGCCCTGGTCCGCGCGCAAGCGTGCCGACACAAAGGCCTTCTCGTCTTCGCTGAGCCACTTCACGTCCTCTGGGAAGTCGGGCAGCCAGAAAAAGAAGAAGACGCTAACAACGACAGTCAGGAGGCCTTCGAGAATAAAGATCCAGCGCCAGCCGGCGTAGCCACGGACGCCGCTCATTTTTCCGATCGCTGCAGCAAGGAGACCGCCGAATGCGCCGGCGAGGGTGGTGCTGTTGAAGAAGAAGGAGTAGCGGCGCTGAGCTTCGTGGCGACG